GGCATTGATTTTTTGGTACACTGGTTCACCAACTCAAATTTTCCATCAATAATTTGACTTGGAGCAACTTTTTTTTGTTTTTGTTTTTGTTTTGTTTTGTTTTGTTTTTGTTTGTTTGTTTGTTTTTTTTTTTTTGTGTCAATCGATGGAAGAGTAATTACAAATATGAAAAATATTTACATCATCAAATAAATTACTAGCCCACAATAATTAGAAAGTTAACAAAGCCTAACCCAACCAATACATCAAATCCACCAAACCCAACAACCAAATAAACTATTATCACAATCTCATAATGGGGGAGAAATAAGCAACCACCAAAAGGGGTATTAAACTCCTCTCCATAGGAGTTGAATATGAGATCTCACACCAGAAAAAGTGGTAGACAACCACTAGGCCAAATGCCCTGATAAGGGGGTGCTGCTGTGCCTTAAGGCAGAGCAGTTATTGCTGCCCCTTTTTGAAAGGTCTTCCCGAGTGTTTTTCGACAATCTGAACCATTATATTGCAAGGTTCATCAAGAATATTATTCATATAAAAAATTAAATTAATCGGATATTCATAACCCCATGATTAGATCCCAGTTGTTTTTAAAATTTTTTGAAAGTTATGTTAACCGTTAATTTTTATAGAAACAAATGTGCTTTGGTTATAGGGTTAAAGATATCCAATCAACTTGATTTTTTACGAGAATGATCTACTCGACGAACCCTACAATTTAAACAGTTCAGATTATAAAAAAAACACTCAAAAAAACCTCCCCAAGAGGCACAACACTAACTAGCATCCCCTCTCCGCAAATGCCCCAGTTGATTTGGAGCAAGTTTGGCAATTACACTTTTAGCAGTATTTGTTTTAAGTAAAAAGAAACAGATAAACAAAGTATTTTTTGCTCTTTTTATTTTAGCTTTTTTTTTTAAAATTTTTAAATCTGAAAATAGTTTTTTTGACATAATTTTTTTAAGGATTAATTACAAAAAAAATCCTAAGATTTCACGTGTTTTTTTATTTTAAATCTCGGTGTTTCAATTTCGACAAATTAAATTCTGAAATTCCATCAAGGTTTCCATTTGTCCCCTCCGTCCATCTCCCTTTGACTACATATGAATTTTTGTCTTGGTTTTATTTGGGGGTCTCTTGTTAGTCGATGGTAAATTGATCTTTCGAATTAGTTGGTCCAGTAGACTGAATATATATCCAGTTATCAAAATAATATAAAAAGGCCTTGGACTATTCTGTATTCACTGCAGAATGATATGTTTATTTTTAGACTCCTATATGGTAGATCATTTAAATAAAAAAAAATTAAATTGATTTGATAATTATAATCGTACGAATTTATTACATTTATCTTCGAAAGAACCAATAACTTATTTTCAAAATCGATTTATCTTTGAAAGAATCAATGACTTATTTTCAAAAGCGTATTTGTCCTTTATTTCTTTAATTAAAGGCAAATGTGATAAAAATGTAATGTTAAAATTATTAGGTTAATTTAATTTTTTTAAATTGATAATACACACATAAAAACTTAAAATTTGAACATATTAGATCATTAGAGTGGATACAATAATAGACTCACAAAAATCCAACACAATCCAGTCTTCTTTCAATTGGAGAAAAACTAAGAGGTACTTACGTGTAGATCTTAATAAATGGATTTATTGTCTAATAGATTTATAGAAAAAATTTGTCATAAAAAAATGTCATTAATTGTAAGTCTTAGCGACAATTTATAAAAATCATGACAAAAAAAAGTCACTAATTATCAATTTTTAGCGACATATGTAAAAAGTTATCATAAAAAAAATTATTTTTAATGATAATTTTATTAAGATTTATTTTCAATAGAATTTGATGAAAATTAAGTTGAACTATTAGGAAATAATGATTTAAAATGAAAATTGCAGTTACACATAGCAATCATAAACTACAATGATCACCCTTTGTTTTTGATGGACACAGTGATCACCTTTTTGTTTTAAAACCATGACATTTAAATAACTCACATAATTTTATATCGATACTTCTAATATTTTTTTTCACTTCCTAGTTTATTGCATAGTCCATATAAATCTTATAACTATTTGTATAATAGTGGAGTTTACTATGCTTATAAGAAAAAATGTCTAGATGAAGGATTTTGGATAAAATTAGAGTCTCACATGTGAAATTACTCATTGCACAATTGTATTAGTTATTTGATTAAATCATCTTATAAGCATAGTAAACTCTACTATATAGATATAATAGTTATCTGATTATCTTTTAAAAAATAGTTTTTACATATTAATTAGCAGTGTGTACAAACTCGATAGATATACTGTTAAAATTGCAAGACGTTCCAAATGTTAGTCTAAATTTGACGGAGTTACATGAAACAGGAAATTACATTCAATTACGTGAAAACTAAAAAACATCTTTAACTTGTGTTTAGTTTATAAATTCGGAAAATAATTTGGAAAGAAAAATGAAAAAAAATATGTAAAATTAAGTGAAATGTAAGTATATATTATTCATATTTCACACTTTTTTCTTATCCCTTTCTAAATCTCACTCTAAGTTCATAAACCAAACACAATGGCAGTGAATTGGCATTGATTTTTTGGTACACTGGTTCACCAACTCAAATTTTTCATCAAAAATTTGACTTGGAGCAACTTTTTTTTGTTTTTGTTTTTGTTTTTGTTTTTATTTTTGTTTTTGTTTTGTTTTGTTTTTGTTTTTGTGTCAATTGATAGAAGAGTAATTATAAGTATGAGAAATATTTACATCATCAAATAAATTACTAGCCCACAATAATTAGAAAGTTAACAAAGCCTAACCAACCAATATATTAAATCCACTAAGCCCAACAACCAAATAAACTATTATCACAACCTTATAATAGGGGAGAAATAAGCAACCACCAAAAGGGGTATTAAACTCCTCTCCATAGGAGTTGAATATGAGATCTCACACCAGAAAAAGTGGTAGACAACCACTAGGCCAAATGCCGTGATAAGGGGGTGCTGCTGTGCCTCAAGGCGGAGCAGTTATTGCTGCCCCTTTTTGAAAGGTTTTCCCGAGTGTTTTTCGACAATCTGAACCGTTTATATTACAAGATTCATCAAGAATATTATCCATGTTTAAAAACAAATTAATCGGCTACTCATAACCCCATGATTAGATCCCAGTTGTTTTTAATTTTTTTTGAAAGTTATGTTAACCGTTAATATTTATAGAAACAAATGTGCTTTGGTTATAGGGTTAAAGATATCCAATCAACTTGATTTTTTATATGGATGATCTAATCGGCGAACCCTACAATATGAACGGTTTAGATTATAAAAAAACACTCAAAAAAACCTCCCCAAGAGGCACAACACTAACTGGCATCCCCTCTCCGCAAATGCCCCAGTTGATTTGGAGCAAGTTTGGCAATTACACTTTTAGTAGTATTTGTTTTAAGTAAAAAGAAACAGATAAACAAGGTATTTTTTTTAGCTTTTTATTTTTGAATTTTTAAATCTGAAAATAATTTTTTTGACATAATTTTTTTAAGGATTAATTACAAAAAAATCCTAAGATTTCACGTGTTTTTTTTTTTTAAATCTCGGTGTTTCAATTTCGACAAATTAAATTCTGAAATTCCATCAAGGTTTCCATTTGTCCCCTCCGTCCATCTCCCTTTGTGTAAAGTAACGGAGAGGGTTTAAAGTGAAAAACACTAAAATTTAAAATAAAAAATTTATGAAATCTTGAAAAATTTTGTGTATTAACCCTTAAAAAAATTATGTCAAAAAAGGGCTAATTAATCATCAGGTAAATTCTCATTATTATTATTTTTCATCAGGTAAATTGTGTCTAAAAATGCTCATTTAATCTCTAAGATGAAGTACCGTGAAAAATTACTATGTGCTGTTGTATTGTCTAATAACAAATAGTTAGAATCCAGTTGTCTCAAAATTAATTTTACTGTTACGTGAATTTTTTTTTTTTAAATTTATGAAATTTCATATTCAATATATATCCAAAAATATAAATTTTGTTAAAAAGATATTAAAAAATAAAAAAAATAAGAATAAGTGGCAGTTTCAAAAAAAAAAAAAAACTGAGGTGCCATTGGTCTTTAGTTTTTTCTTTTAAATTAAATATACGACTCTCTCAACTAATAGTGAGTATGTTACTCTTTTTTTTCATTTATGAATTCGTATATATTGGCTTCATCAATTATAAAAAGAAAAAAAAAATCCTCTCTAAAAAAGAAAAACTATAAAAAAAAATTGTACAAAAACATCCTTTTTGGATGGTGCTTTGAAGGGGTGTAAGTGATCATTCATGTATTTATTTATTTATTTTTATAGTTATAGGGATTAAATTTTTTATTTTATAGTCCGAGTAAGAAGGATAAATTGATATTCACTAATCATTGAAGAAATATTATGATAACTACTTTTATTTTATTTTATTTTATTTGAATTGAGCATGCTGCTAAATCTACAGAAATGGGGCCATGTTTAGTTTGATTTTTAGAAACTTGTTTCAGATTTTTTTTTCAAATAAAAATTAATTTCGTGAAAAAAATAAAAATCTTATTATTTTTATATAATTTAATTTTGGGTAAATTACAAATATACCTCATGAGATTTGCTTAAAGTACAAATTGTCTCATATAGTTTGAAAAATTACAAATACTGCCTTGTTAATATTTTGTATTTAACAGAATTAACTAAAAATTGACTTGATGATTTATTAATAACAGGGGTGATTTGTTATGAAATTGGAAATCTTAGGAGGTGAAATTTAATTTTTAAAATTACAGAGATGATTCGTATTTTAATTAAACCTCAGAAAATATATTTGTAATTTACCTTTTTATTTTTGTAGTAGAAATAATTTTTAAAAATAGATGTTTTTAATTAATAACAAAAAGCCCATATATATGTAGACTAAGAGGAGGGCCTGATAATTAAATAAACGGGCCGGACACAAAAACCCTTTAATATGTGTAGTGCTAAGTGCCGGGCCCTATAGTCAGTTCTCTTCTTTCGTAAGACCCTTCTGCTCTCTGTCTCTCTCTCGCGCTGTGGCAGAGGAGCAAAGCGCTAATCAAATGTTAGATTCGCCGCCTTCATCATCGACAACATGGCTTCTGTTTCTTCCATTTCCAAAACCCTAGCTAAGAAGCTCCGCCGTGGACGCGCCTCCGCCTCTGCCTCCGCCGTCACTTCGTTTCGGTGGAAGTCGTTCCCACCCCTGCCTCCTTCCTTGTCCTTCTCCTCCTCCTCCTCCTCCGCCGCCATCTCCTCTTCTTCGGCACCTCCTTCAACTTCGACCTCCCCTTCTCAATCTCAAGGTCCTCTCTCTCTCTCTCTCTCTCTCTCTCTCTCTCTCCATTGAATCTATGCTTGATGTGTATTGATATTGAAATTTGAGTGTTTGTGTGAAATGTATCAGAGAAGCAGAAAGGGTCGAGATGGTCAAAATTGCTCCTTTTTGTTCCTGGAGCCATCACTTTTGGTCTTGGAACTTGGCAACTCTTCAGAAGACAAGATAAGGTTTAACCTCTCTCTCTCCCTCTCTCTCTCTAAAATGCGCACACACACTAGATATGTATCTCTATTCCCATTTTCACACAGTTCGCTAATGTTGGCCTTCAACTAGGGTTTATCTAAGCAAAAAAACTCTTCTAATATTATCTTTAACCCTCTCCTCTCTTTTCTTTTAGGCTGTGTTTATATATATATATATAATTGTGAAATGAAAAATATTAGCTTAGATTTTTGTAATTTTTCGTTTCACTGTTCAAATCTCTACCCAAATCCAAGATATACAAACACAACACTAAAAAAATTAGCTTACATTTTTGTCATGTTCATGGAATTGGAATATGTAGTTTAAACATTGTGTGTGTGTGTGTGTGTGTGTGTGTGTGTGTGTGTGTGTGTGTGTGTGTGTGGATGCAGATTAAACTACTTGAATATAGGCAGGAAAGATTGGGATCGGAACCAATTAGTGGTAACAAGTTAGCTCCTTCCAGTAACAATTTGGATGCTCTTGAGTTCAGGAGGGTGGTATGTAAAGGACTGTTTGATGAGAAGAAGTCGATTTATGTGGGCCCACGCTCTAGAAGCATTTCAGGGGTAACTGAGAATGGTTACTTCCTCATTACTCCTTTTATGCCAATTCCCAACAATCCAGAGAGGTATGAGGCGAAAATTTATCGTATCAATGACTCTGTAAATGTTTATAATATCAAAACAACTGTGGGTGTCAAGAGATGTTAAAACTTCAACATATCGGCTGCGGGTGTCGGGTGTATATCTATATGTTGTTCCGTATTGGCCATGTTTTGATTTTACTACACATACTTGTGAATCATAGAGAAGCACCCAAAGAGTGGCTGACATCTTAGAGAAAGTGATTTGTAATATTTATTTTTGTAGGTTGTTTTGAGAATTACATTTATGTTGACACTAAATTGTTGGTTCTTTTGGAATGTTGATGAATATAGTGAGTGGATCACGGTCGTGTGCTTCTTTTATGATTTTTTAACAATAATATATTGGAAGTTTTTTTCAGTGTGCAGTCGCCTATTCTAGTCAATAGAGGATGGATTCCACGCAGCTGGAGAGACAAGTTCGTAAAAGTTCCACAGGATGATGAACAACTGTCAAGTATAGCATCGTCCTCTGCACAAGAGAATGAAAGAAGTTCCTGGTGGAGGTTTTGGTCTAAGAATCCAAAAATTATTGAGGTTGTATATTGTTATTGTAGATTGCTTGGCTAATGTGGACATGAGCTTTGTGTAATGTTATTTGACTGTATTACCTTGAAACCTACAGGAGCAAGTTCCTCCGGTTACACCTCTCGAAATTGTTGGAGTAGTTCGTGGAAGTGAGAAGCCTAGCATCTTTGTTCCAGCAAATGATCCCAACTCATCTCAGTGGTTCTATGTTGATGTCCCTGCAATTGCTCGAACATGTGGACTTCCTGAGAATACTATCTACATTGAAGACGTCAATGAAAATGTCAATCCCAGCAATCCATACCCCGTTCCTAAGGATGCCAACGAGTTGATTCGAAGTTCAGTAATGCCACAGGATCATCTAAACTATACATTCACATGGTATGCTTGTTGTTTCATTTAATATTAAATTTATACTTCCACATGCTGCTTGTTTCATATGCTTCATTTAATATTTATGTCATATGCTTGTTAAAGAAGGAAAAGAATGAAATAGTATATGCTAACAGATCCTTTTTGCTATATGTTCTAGCTATTACATACAATTAAGCAGTGCAAAGCCAGTTTAAGATCACTGGTCAGTATTTTGTCTCTGGAAATTTTGATATGACGGTATCTGTGTATGAGGGAGGTCCATATGTTGGTTTTATGATGTATCATATCATATTCTTAGGGTCATTTTGTGCTTATAGACGGTCAAGTGCTGATTAGTCATCATCCATCAGCTCTTAACATGGTCATAAGCTAGATTTACCTGAGCCACCATGGCTTTCAGTCTTCCTCTAGTTCATGAGGCAAGGCAATCCATGTGGTGGCTGATATTTCTCAGCAGTTTTCATATCTTACTCTGGCTATCCTTGTTTTTTTTGTTTTTTTTTATTAGTAAGTATATGTCAGATCAGAACACATCAAGGGGATGCCAGCAATGTACAGAGCTAACAAAACACAACACCACCCCATTATAAACACAAAAATGTTTGTACTTCTTACATCTCAAAGGAAAAATAAAGTATAAAGTTCGCTTATGGTTGGGATTCACCTTCCTGAAGTTCAACTATACAATATGGCCAAAAAGGAACTGTTCAACCTATCTTAAAATACTTTGGTCTTTAAAATAAATGACATCACATAATGTACAGATTTATCATTTGTCACAAATTTAAGATTTCATTTCCTTGTGTGCTTCAATTTTCTACAACCATTGGGTTTAGGCAGTATATAAAAACCATCAAATATTTACTAGGCAGAAGTCTAAAATAAGACTGGATCAGTGTGCAACCATGAAGCATCCAATTAAAACATGAATAATCTCATAATGTGTTGTTGTTGGAAGTGGTAAAAACTCTGAAAAATCATGCTTTCTTCTCTGCAGTGGAAGGGTATTGCAGCACAGTTAATACTATTTGTACTGTTCATACTTCAGCTACATCTTTCAAGTGTACTCGAGGGTTCTTCTGTTTGTTTTGTTTATGCTATCTGTATTAGCGGGCTGAGATTTGATTTAAATCAATTTTAGTTAAAAGCATGGTAGTTTTAACAAAGGCATTCTCTATAGCTTTTTTCTGATATCAATTTTAATCAATTTGCAGGTATTCTCTGTCAGCTGCAGTTACATTTATGGCCTATAAGAGATTAATGCCAAAAAAGACTGGTAGGTAGCAAGTTTTCACTATATAAGAGATGCAAACCAATTGATGTTCCCCATATGGGTCATATGAAAGATTTTGATTCATTTGGAATAAAGAGCTGATGGATCTTTTTAGGTTGCGGAGTTGCTCTTTATCCAAATGACAGATACTTTTGTTCTTCGGCATAGTTCATTACTTTGCCATTGTTTCACCGGAAAATACTGGAATCCTTTCTAGGCGGTATGATGGTTTACCATTTTGGAGCTTATTTTGAGTTAGGATTAAAACATGTTTCACGAGAATATTATTATTATTATTATATTCAATTTATGCAAGTCCACAGCAGCCTATAGGAGTAGTTCCCTCAAATAATCTTTGGTGCGTCATTGTTTTGATTAGAAGTTAATATGTTGTAACCATGTATTTGTTTTACAAAAATGATTTAATTTGTGTAACAGGCCACATGGAGTGGACTCAAAAGGTTCAAATGTCATTTACCTCGTAACTTTTGTGAATGAGATGGTGGCTCGTGTTGTATAATGTTCTTTAGCACAGCAATGGTGTAGTGCAAAATCCTATTTTACTTTGTGGCTTTAGTCCTAGGCATTTTAACATTTAAATGTAAGATATGTTAATGAGCATATGTTAACAAGACTATTGCTTTATATATACACACAAAACACTAGAGACAAAGGGCTAGCTCAAGTGGTAAGAGCGTCCTTTGCTAGTCCAAGGTTTGGGCCTCTAGGTTAGAATATATCTGTGTTCTAAACATTCTCAAAAGAAAACAAGAAATGCTCACAAGATTTTTTTATGCTTTTACAAACTCTGTTAACAGCAATTTTAAGAAGACAAAAGTATCCTTTAAATATTTAAGTTGCAGTAGCAGTTAGTACGCTTTGTCAAATACATTGAGAACAAAGCGGGAAACTGGAGGAAGGGCCAGCATTTTGCAATGAATAATGTTATATGTATCAATTAGTATATTAATTAGTGTATTAATAGATGATGTGACATAGAGGTTTTGAATATTTGTAATTTATATAATGAGTGAGTCATAACTTTGAAATAATAATGTCATAATATATGTTGGTATAATAATTAGTATGCCAATTAATGCGTGTAGTACTACCATTTTGTAATATGGCATCGATTGTGAGTAATGGTTATTTTTCCCTCCAAAACAATTGTAGCTCAGTGACAATATGCTAACCAATGTAACACTTTGAGATGTTTTGGGAATAATTTGTTTTGGCTTTTTTTTTTTTTTTCGTGTGATGATCTTATGGTGGTAATTTCGTCTTTAGTGATTTTTTTTCAAAAAAAAATTCAAGAAGCTCTAGGTTTTTGAAATTCAGCTTGACAAGATGAATCTAAAAATTATATTTGTAAAAAAAAATCCAAAAAAGACAAAAATAAATCAAAATAAGCAATTTTTTTTGACTGGCTTCGTTTGGGAACAGATTAATTTAATAATTTTTTAACTATTTGGTTAAAATATGAGTTAAAAAAAATTAGTATGTTTGGGGTGATTTTTTGACTTTTTACGAAAAGATGTGTAAAAAGTAGAGAGAAAATAGAATTTTTGATTTTTTAGTATGTGTTGTTGGCTTTTTTACTTTTTTAGTATTTTTTTTGACTTTTTGACTGAATTGGCCTGTTGCCAAACGAGGCTTCATCTTTTGTATTTTTCTTTTGAAAATTTTCAAAAAAAATATATACTTTTTAAATTCGTCTCGACAAGATAGATTGGAGAAGTAAAAAATTTTGATATAATTTTGAAAAAAAATCATTAAAGACAAAAAAAATTCAAAAAATATATATATTTTTTTTTGGTTGCCACAAATCGGCTTTTTTCTTAATGGATTTTTCGCTCACATTGTTGAAATAAGGTTCTGATCAGCGTTTGTTGGTTGAGCTTACTTTTTGCCCAAAAAAGAAGGGGTGTGTTCCAGGTCCATACAGCTAGGCTATATTGATTGTGATTCCCACTTTCCAGGGTGGTTGCAGAGATTTATGCATAAAACCAAGGCTCCAGTGAGGTAGAGAGAGGAACACAAAAAGGCAGCAGCACAAGTGGGTTGTATCATTTTCTTAACACGGAGTAATAACAACAACAACAACAACAATAATAATAATAATAATAATAATAATAATAATAGTAAATTGTTAAAAAGTCTAAATTAAGGAGGGTATAAGGTATTAGATTCTGTAGATATTTTGTGTTGGTGAGAAGTCCATCATTTGTAAAATAATTTGGTGACAAATACTTTTATTTATTTTGAAGCACATTTTGTTTTCAATTTTACCCTTTAATTTATTTGTTGACTTTTTTTTGTTATCTGTTGACTTTCGTTGACTATTTGTTCAAAAAATTTTCCTATCTATTCAATTTTCTTACCCTATCTGTTTAATTTTTTAATCTTTTTCAATTCAAATTTCCCTTATCTGTTTCACTGTTTGTCCAAATAAAATTCTATCTGTTTATATTTATATTTATCTATTTAAATTTTTTCTATCTGTCCAAGTTTTATTTGTGTAAATCTTCTTTCTGTCCAATATTTTATCAATTCAAAATTTATCTGTACAAATTCACAAGTTTATTATACCTATCTGTTCAACTTTTATTTGAATAAAAGTGCATTTGGACAACCTCTATTTAATTTTTCACAATATCTATGCATACTTCAAACAAATCATAATTTTCAAAAATGAGATAACTTTTAAAAAAAATTCAAAATATCTGTGCGTATACTCTGCCTTTTCTCAATACCAAACCCCTATATGTTCAAAGTTTGAAAAGATCTATAATATTATATGCTCAAAACAAAATTGTCCTACCTATTTAAAATTTTATTATCTTTTCAAATTTTGAATAGATCTGCAAACACACCCACACACAACTCATCATCATCATCTTCTTCCACAACCAGGTCTGAGACTATACAAACCAGATCTGAGACTACACAAAATTAGAACTCAACTAGTGTAGATCTGCCTATTGAACGTATACAGTAGATGTTATCTCACCAAATTTGAACTCAATTGTACAATGAAGAACTTAAATTTGAAATAGATCTACCAACTCGTATAAATCTAATGATCTACACAACTACAATACCTCCAGGTGATGCTGCGAAACTCAATTGTGTTGGATTCAGCGGCAGAGAAGTCGCCAACAGTCGAAGCAGCAGCTATGCGCTTAACGGAGCCATGAAGAGGAACAATCTTCAGATCTTCTAGATGTGGAGCTTGACAGAGTTAAAGACAAAGTCGTCGGAGACATCACACCGCCGTCAACACCAGAGATAAAGCAGCAGACAAAAGTAAGAGAGAGAGAGAGACTGAGAGAGAGAGAGTGGTGGTGGTGTTTGTGACGACGGTGGTGCGATCGGCGGTTGAACAGGAGAAATGAGAGAGAAGAGACAGAGTGACAGAGTAGAAGGGAGAGAGAGAGAGAGAGAGGGATTGTTAGGGTTTTGAGACATCTAATATGATGTATATAAGAAGGGTATTTTGGTCATTTTAGTTGAGCTTGTCCTTTTGGACAAACTAATCCAACACCTAGACTTCTCACCTAACAAAATTACAAATTGGATTTATGAATTGAGTGCCCAACATAATAATAATAATAAGCATTCCCAAGTATATCAAATCCATTTGTCCAAGTGATATAAACTGGCACGTCTATAGGAGCAAATGGGTGGACCTCCATAGCACAAACCCCTAGGGCCATGTTTGATTCCACAATATTAATAGTGAGGTATTAATAATCCAATCAAATTAGTGTGGTATTCACAATCCTACCCCTACCCTATTACTAATAATCCTACAAATTTGTTGGATTAATTATCCATTGGATTGATAATCCTAAACAAAATGTCAAAACAAACATAGGATAATTGGGCCCGCGGATTAATAATCTCAATCCCATACTCTAATCCTTCCAATCAAACATGCCATAGTAGTATTAGAAGTCCAACCATATCATGAATGCAGACCTTTACAATTGAAAACCGACCCAGGGATCAATGAAATATATGACCACCTGCTCCGGGGGTGGGCCCAATGTACAAGGTATCCTGCTAGGCTGCTAATGTAGATAATGCACAATCCCATTTGATGATGAAATTGCAATATTTTCCATCAAAAAACTAAAGAGAAGGAGAAACACAAGGAAATGTTTAACCAAAAAAGCTAGAACAAAATACCTATGCAGCTGTGTACAAAGTCTCACCGTGTCTTGTCGCACCAAAAATGTCGAGCTATTTTCAAACCCATGAGACAGACAAAAAAAAAGCGGGAGAGAGATCGTAGATAGCAACGTGGCAAGATGTACAACACCACTGACAAGCATTGAGGCATCCTGAGAATTCTTGAAGTAAAAACAAAGACCAAAACAAACTAATTATAATATCATTGAATGTTCAATGTTTGTACACTTTGTACACATTACAGGAAGCTTCTAAAAGAGCACACAATTCAAAGAAAAAGAAAGCTATTTACTCACCACACCAAGCCAGGAATAAAACTAAATAGGAACTAAAAGGAAGCCCATATCAAAAGAATGGAATGAATATGAAACAAACAAAAACACAAGTAAAAAAAAAAAAATCAATAAAAATAAAAATAAAAGAATTTGATTTTCATGGCACCCATCTTACAAGTAAAGGCCAGGATGAATTGGCTACTCTTGCATGGACTGCTTTCAACAACGCCACAACGTTGAATAGACTACCTTCACAGATCCTGAAGCTGGATTTTTCATGGTGAGTGCTGCATCATTCCCTGATTATTGCACATTCAAGAGCCAATGTTAGACACAAACTCTCCCTGGTGTCGATGACCTGAAAATGGAGACTAAAATACTATTACCCGGTTTCATTGTATGCATTAATGATCAGAAATCCGTGATATACATTGCCACGAAAGAGAAAAAAAAACAGAGCGTATCAACTATAGTAGTCCACGAGAATAAAAAGAACCACTGGTCCAGTTCATCATCATACTCACCATTAGGAAAATTATTGTGCCACAATTGTTGGGGAGTGCTCCGGTTCTGTAAGTTTCAGAGCACCAGAGGCTGGTTCAGCATATGAATCTGAATAACATACACCATTTTGTGTTACCAGAGAAACCCCATGCCCCTCGTGATAATGCCTATCCTGAGAATGGTGCATGGATGAATGAGAATGACCACTCCTCTCGAAAAACTCTTCACTCAATGGCTGATCACATTCAGGAATAAAGGTCCCAAATTCATTGAAATCATCTTCACTACAACTGGTATTACTGTCAGACGATGCCACTGAAAAGGACCCTGCAGATAGGTGGAAAAATTCTTCCTCCAAGTTGTTGCGACGATGTAGAATGTCTTCTTGATAATGAGGAGGTGATCTTGAGGAAACAGATGGTGTAAGGGATTCCATAATATCATCAATGGAATTGTTTTGTGCAATGCTGATTTTTGCATATTTTCTTTCCCCTCCTGAGACTGCCAAAGGATCGAGATGAGAGTTTCCAGCTCTCACAGGAAAACGTCCTTCATTAGTGTCGGATTTCATTTGCTCCTGCTTTATATCCATTTTTCTAGTAACCACCACAGAATTCCCACTGGCATGCCCCACAAATTTTGGTCCAGCTTCACTAATTCCATCAAAGTAGCGATGAGAATTGAAACCACTGGAAATGTCTGCAAAGGAACAGTCAGATTCTAAAATGTTTGTACTACTCTCATTTCCTGAAGTTTGAGCAGAGTCTGAAACATATCGTGAGCTCTCACCGAGATACCTATGCCTTGTCTCATGTTTCAAATAATGTTCTTTATCAGGATTAACTGTAGCCACATTATATTGACTACCACTGATAAAATTTTCAGAATCTTGATTCAACCATTCAAATTCCTGCAACCATAGATCAGAACGCTCTTTTTTCATCAATTCGATTCTGTTCATCAAACCAACAATTTCAGCTTCTTCATCCGAAATTATGTTCTCCTCTTTGCTTCGAGTCTCATTCTCACATGATACTGACTCTTCGGAGCCTACATGCATGGTCAGCTCCTCACTTTCAATACAAGCAAGACGAGAATGCTTCTTCTGCAAGATGTTGGATAAAATACTTTTTATATAACATCATTTAAATAAAATCATTGCACTTGATATAGCACAGATGCTATGCTGGAAAATAAATAAATCTTGGTATTAGAAAGAGAACGCGCCAATTAATTTCAACAATCACCTACCCTTTTTGTTTTGATAATTCCCTCTAATTCAGCAACTCCTTTTGCTGGAGAATAAAATCCAAAGCTAGCAGGCCGTTTCTGCCTGCTTGCAATAATAATTCGCCTTTTCCAAAACTCTCTTTTACAAATTTTCTTCTCATCTAATGTCAACTACAGTGTTCACAAAAAATACAAGGTGGAATGTGACTTCTAGAAAAAAAGATGGCTAATATCTGAACTGAAAAAAAATGTAACTTGCCTCAGATAATCCATTTTACTTTCATTTTTTTCCCTTTCCTTTTATGCCAAAGGAAATTTTAGAGGACAAAATAACTAGAAAAGAACTTACATGCAACAACTTACATTATCTGGATGAGGGAAAATGCTGAACACTTGTGCTCTGTACCATCGTGCACAACATAACGGATTCCCTTCCAACCACAGGCTTTGTAGAGATGGAAGGCCCTCAAGGATCTCTAACTCTGAAAAATTGGAAATAACATTGTAGGAAAGATCAAGGCCTTCAAGTGACTTCAAATTCTCAATCCCACGCATTGTAGTTAGAGCATTGTTCCTCAAAACAAGTTTAACAATTTGACAGGAGACCTGCATAGTGCAATAATTTTGATATATGGATTGAAATCTAATTCCAAAATTAGAAACTTAAAGAAGCCAATAAAAATATTTAGGGGTGCAGATTTACTTGGTGACATAAACTCGCAAAACTTTGTCAACACCATCTCTAAACATATACCTCTTTAAAATGTAATAGTAAAAGCAATGGTTGCATTTGAACCAAAGGGGAAACATATTTGCTTCCTATGCGGGGACATGAAATGAAGGAGCATCTACTCATTCATTGTCAAGTGAAAAGGGAGATATCTACTTTTGAGTTTGATTGGGGTGTCTTGGAAGTTCACAGTCTACGACTGTTTTTAACCTTAGACAGAGAGGTGGTACATTTTCAAGAGCAGGAGAAGGTCTATTAGGCTGCTCCCATTGCTTGATGTGGTGCAATTGGGCAATACCATCTCTCTTTTGAATGTGTTTAGCAGCCAATTCACAAGTTGAAGAGGCTGTTCTAGGCCATTCTTGCTTGTTGCGTGATAAGCATAGATAACCTATCCCTTGAGACGTATGTAAATTTCCTAGGGAGTTGGAGTATTGACTTTTGCATATTCACTTCTTTTTCTACTTTTCTTCATAAACATGTATACATTGGTTTCCTCCCTATGCTGTCCTTTACAAAATTACTGGCTGAAGAAAAGTGCTTCCTATAGAAGAAAAAATAATTACTTAGAAGCAACTCAATTTTATAAATAAATAAATAAATAAATAAAAATCGGCCACTTGTGGACAACAAGCTAAATCACAAATTCAGTAACCTAATACAATTTATTTTTGTCCTGATAAAGATTGCTCCAAATATATGAAGATAACAAAGAAGAAAAGAATGATGATAACAAATGCTACTAACATCAAACCATAGTTGTTTCCCAGCATAAATGATGAAAATAAAAAAGTAATGCCATCATTTTTGTGTGTCATCTCCCTACAATGGTGAACAAAGGGATCACTCACTAATCATTACTGTCTAAAGTTGTATGATAATCAAGATTGTTCAAATAAAATTTCAAATTTCAGTTTCAAGATTGTTATCATGTTCATATGGCTTTATGGGATAGAGAAAATACTCCTAAATCTCTCTCTCTCTCTCTCTCTCTCTCTCTCGTGTTAGATGAAAAGGAGGGACCCAAGATGAGAGTCCAAATCCAGGGTTTTGTACCCCTAAATGAAAGTTTATTAAGAATCAAGCAGAGGATTTCAAAATCAAAGATATGATATTCATTCTTCAATTTGACAAAGCTTCTACAGAGTAAAGTAATTCATCATAATTTTTTTTTTTTTTTTTTTGATTGGCGAAAGTTAGTAGTTTGTTGTTAGATTAGCACCTATAAAATTAGCCTCCTCACCCTTTGCAAAACACCAAGTGCTTGCCTCCTTAATTCAACTCTCCCTAGGGAGAGTTGAACCCATGATCTCCCTCTAGGACTAAACCCTTAGGAATACATCATAATGAGAGAGAGAGAGAGAGAGAGAGAGAGGGGGGGGGAGGGGGGTTAGTGGAGCTATTATTTGCTTGTAAACTTGGGCCGTGCTTTTTGGTTATGTAAATACATTGAGGGAAGCTTCAGGAAATATAGAAATAACAATTCTTTGGTATAAGGAAATGTTTTCCAAAGCCAGACGAGTTTTTATTGAGATCTCCATGTGTGTCAATAGAAAAAAAGATGGCTAATATCATTGTTCCAGCTGGTTCTAAAGCTCAAGGATGGGCGGAAATTGCAAGTTTGCTTCAGCAGATGGTGTTTGGGATTCAAAGCTTAAGATGATAGACAAAGTAAAATTGCAAAAGAACATGGGAAGATTACCTCGCTAGAAGTTCCATAGTCCCGAAAAACAGGGGTGAATAGAGGACATTCTAATGTCAATTTATTTAAACCAAAACAAGCGACAACAGATTGTTTCTTACTCTAGGAGTCATCAAGATAAACATTGAAAATAAACCAATAGTAACTCGTTATAGGTTTTCTCTTTCTTGGTAGCTTCTTTTTTTTCTTTTTTTTTGTGCCTTTGGGTTCATATGTTTGAGAGGTTCTATCCCAGTTAGAAACACAGTTCTTTCTTTATGAAACAAGGTTTTAACTAATCATCTTTAAGTCATAGAATCGCAATTCCGGTGTGAATTCATCACACCCAGTAGGAGGAACCTGCAAGTTGTAGAATTGTAGAATCGCAATTCCGGTAGGCTACAACTAAGATTTCAAGTGCTTCAAAGGAAAGCAGGAATTCAAGAAGTGAGACAAGGGTGGTAGGATACACAAGTCTGATTGGTTGAAGATAATTCCACTCGATCATGGAGACGTACAGATTCAATTTGGGAGACTGTGATCATTATCTACTTGAAAACATACTTTTTCAGCAAGGTAGAGTGCTTTGACTAGCTATGAGTTTTATAATCAAGTCAAAAATGAAAACAGCATCTTTAAAAAAATCAATGTAACAAATAGCATCTCACAACAAAGGACGAGAATGATATCATAGTTCTAATTAGTACTACCTCACTAAATGATGCAATCGTTCTAAGTTGATTGAACCCAAGATCCAAGTGCTTCAATCTTCTACACTTCCGGAGATTATCCACCTTCGCAAACTTGTTTCTACTTAAATCAAGGGTTTCAACCACAGGGAGAAGTTGCAAAGACTCATCCATGAGAACCAAACCATTACAAGCACACGACACAGATGACAACCGGTTCCACTGTGGGGAGACTTTTATCTCAGCAATTCTACTGGCAAATAGGTGACGCAGTGCATCCTAACATATCAATTGAACAAACATAAGAATAAGAGTAACCAAAGCTTCCAATATAAACAACAAATTAATCACCATTACATTATATACTAGACAACCAAAAAAAAAAAAAAAATCATATAATCCCTTAAAACTATATAGCAAAGAATAAATTATAACTAGGGATAAAAAGAAAAAGAAGCAACTTGAATTTTTTGTTTTTGTTTTTTATTGTTTGAGAAAAGGACCTCCACTCCGAAGTGTTTAATTGATTTCAATTCTTCATTCTTCCAAGATTATAAAACAAAAGCACACAAAATATATAATTCAATGATTCGTTTTCTAGTATTTTACTCTATTTTCTCAGCTACCAAACATAAAAAACAAACTAGCATCAGCAAAGAAACTCACAGTTGAATTGTGACAAATGAGCTTTTCCAAGGTATGCCTCAATTCGAGAAGCCCTCGAGCAGCCGAAGTCGAAAGATCACATCCCCGAAGCTCCAAAACCTTCAATCGCCCAAACGGCAACAACGAGAGAGGCGTGGGGTCCCTTGCCGAAGGCGTAAACACCGACACGACCTTCAGAGACGTAAGAAGACACAGAATTCTCCGGAGCTGCTCGAGCGCGCGGTGATCGCCGAGGTCGGAGACGTAGGAGCGTAGATAATCAACCGGAGCTCCGGCGAGAAGACCTTCGAGTTCGCTGAGGGCTTCGAGCCTGGATTGCACGTAGTGAAGCCCCATGGGGTTGAGCTTCAGAACTAGGGTTCCTTCGATCAAAGGCCCCGCTTGTTTGTCCACGAACTTTACCAGAGATTCGAGGTACCGATCTCCGGTCACAACCTCCATTTCTACGACGAAAATTAGGGTTTCTAGAGATACAAAAACATGATTTGATCTCTTCTGAAGAATCGCATAGACACAGAGAGAGGTTCAGAGACTAAAATCAGGAGAGAGAAAGAGATAGTGGATTTGAATTACGATTTTTGTTGGGAGAGAGAAATTCAGGAGAAGGGGGTGTTTGGGGAGGATTCAGGAGAGAGAAACGGCCATGGCTTCTCTACAAATGTTGAGAGAGAGAGAGAGAGAGAGAGAGAGATGGGTTGGCGTCCTGAGATTTTGGAAATTCTACTTTGGATTGGAGAATGTGCTAGAGTACTAATTATTGCTACCGTTAATGATGTGGCAGTGGATCTTATCATAAATGATTTGATATTTTAGTCTTGTTATTCTTTTTTTTTTTTATTGAGAGTCATGTCATTAATGGTCTTTTTAGAGTTCCAAAATTAGTGGTCTCTATCATTATTATTTTGGATAATAACAATGTTACATACCACTAAATTCTTATCACTAACACCACCACTAATGATGTGACAAATTAAAAAAAAAAAACTAAGACACAAAACACATGTGGCAGTGGATGGGACCCACTGCCACATTCTTAGTGCAACCACTAATTAGTGGTCTCCATCATTTTTCTTAGGATAAACTAGCATATCACCGTGCTATACATGGATTGTGTTTACAATTATCTATATATGTGAATTGTGATTTTTAAATATATATTTTTTTAAATGTCTTTTTTTTTTCTTTTTTTATATTATATTAAAATTTAATATTTTGATAATAATCATATGCGTTAGACTTTTTAAGGAATTAAATATCTTTTTTTTATTATATTATATTAAAGTTTAATATTTTGATAATAATCATATGTGTTGAGCTTTTCAAGAAATTTTTTTTATATTTATTCTTAATACATTAAAGTGTTATTACGAGGGATAATAATCATATGTGTTGGGACTTTTCAAAGAATTCATATGTGTTGGATTTCAACAAAATTTTTTTAGTGTTATTGTGATGGTAAAACTTGAGAGTTGAGAGAAGCTAATAAATGCAGAAGTTAATAAATGCTAAGATTTTTTTTTTAAATCAAAAAATCAAGAAATTTAGATTGGGAGATTGGAGCTCCCACAAGGCTTGAGTTAAAAACTCCTTTTTAAGTTTGGCATCTTCCAAAAAATTCAAAAAGTCAAAAAGTCACTATTCTATTTAAGTCACATCATCTCATTTAAGTCACATCACCTCTCTAACACATCACTTCAAACCCAACCAAAATCCAACCCATATTTCATAAAAAGTTAAAAAGTACACTTATTTAGTCTTCCCAAACTTAATATATAGTTATAATAAACTCTTTGATTTGCGAAAAATTATTCATTGCCCCCATCGACGACTTTAGTATTATTGGTTAAAAGAGTGGATCCATTACTTATTTGTCTCTTGGACACTCGGCCAAACATAAATGGTGTGGAGGAACAATTTTTGTCCTCTAGAGCCCTCGTTTAGCCTACGAGTATTTTGGCTAAAATAGTTATAAAAAAATAAAATGTATTAAAAAATTAATAAGATAAAATTATAATTACTTTGTTTTTTCTCTTATAAAAATAAAAAAATTAAAAAAATTTATTCTAAATGAGACTTTTTAGTCTTAGGTAAAAAAAGTCAAAAAGTCAAAAAGCCAGCTCACATCCCAAATAAAGCTTTAAACTTCAAAATTGAACATTTAATTAGCTTGTATTATTATAAAATTTATTCTAAATGAGACTTTTTAGCCTTAGGTAAAAAGAGTCAAAAAGTCAAAAAGCCAGCTCACATTCCAAATAAAGCTTTAAACTTCAAAATTGAACATTTAATTAGCTTGTATTATTATCTTGTTAGCCCATCTCCAATCATTTATCATTTTTTTTTATCTAATTTGATTCTAAATTTAATTAAAAAACTTGATTTGTTATAAACTACTCCAATCATTTCATAAAAATCTTTTGAAAATTTAATTTTTTATCCCAAAATTTTGCTTTTCATCAATTTTGGTAAAAAAATCTAGCTCAAATCCTTCATTTTTTAATAATTTTATCAAACTTAAATAGAAAAATGTTTGTTGAAAATCTGGTGATAAATTTGATTCATCCTTGATTTGATGAAAAATTTGTTTCTCCTTAATTTGATATAAGTTTGGTGAAAGAATTGGATCTCATTTTCACTAAAATTTTCATCAAATTTAAATTTGATAATGGATTAGAGATGCTCTTAGACCATCTCCAACCTAGACTCAAATCTTTCATCAAATTGGTATCAAATAAAGGAGCTCTATTTTTTTCATCAAATCAATGGAGCATTTAACCTTTCATCAAATCTCGCAGGTGATTTTGTGCCAAAAACAAAAAAATCTCGTAAGTGACCATTTGTGGACGACCAAATGGATAACCAGCCGGTCAACCGGGTGAACGACCGGCCGGACAACCGTGTGATGTCCAGATTCCTTTTAAAGTAATTTGGGTGTATTAATTTGTAATTTCTATCATCTTAAAATTGTCCTTGTCATTTTTGAGCTCTTTGAATCTCATGTTGTTATCTATTATTTCCTTGTGATTGTTCATGTATATTCTAGTGTGTTCCTATGTGTCATTTTTGTATCTTTAGGTATTGGAGTGAATCCGGGCATAATGGAAATGTTTTAAGGTTGTTTTGTCTCACTTTTGAGTTGAGACCACTCGGGCAGTTCTTTTGTCACTCGAGCAGTAACGTCAGCCCTTCCGTATTTCGTTTTGCAGTCTGAACTTCTAGGAGTTTGCATTCTTCGCTCGAGCGAAGGTTTCATCGCTCGAGCGGTTTTTTGCAATAGGAAAGAGATTCTGAGAGTTTGAATTGTTCGCTCGAGGGTAGGTTTGGTCATTCGAGCGGTCTATCCGCAGTCTGTTCCGAAAAATGTGTCTAATCACTTAAAGTTAGACCCTTACACCATTTTGTTTCACTTTTAATTTCACTCTCTCTCTCTGTCTCTCTCTACATTTTACTTTCCTTCTTTTCTCTCGTCTCTTTCTAGAAACCCTTCCACCACCTCATTTATTTCATTGATCTTTGTAACAACCCTCATACTGTTTATCGATTAATGACTGATTAACCGCTAATTACTGTTAACCGAGACTGATTTTGACTGATAATTGAACTGCCTAAGGTACTGAACTGACTGATTGAAAACTGGAATCGAATTATTATTGGAGAGCTTATTAAGAGCAACATTGTGTAAGATGGAGATAAATTTTCAACACCGTCAATTTTTCAAGCTTTTCTCACATTTTCATCCAAAATCTTGAGGTAGGGAATTTTTTGAGTTATATATATGATTTTAGCATATTTAGTATATTTTTTCCATGCCTTCGAATGTAGGGTTTGGGTTTTGTAGTGTGGGTTTTGAAAATGTTGAAGAAAATGGCTTTTCTTGTGAGAATGTTCAAATTAAAAATATTTTATGACTTATAAACTCTGGAAGTACGTTGTGAGGAGAGTCTATGAAAAATGAAGGAAAACTCTTTTTGGATCAAACCCTAGTTTTGAAGAAATTTGGGAAAAAAGTGAATTTTATGAAATATCCATGAAATTGTTTTAAATTCCTCAAGAAATTGATAGAACCCTCCTCATGTTGATATTGTAGTTGAAATATCCATTGGATGAATAAATGTTGGTGTTGGAAATTTGTTGAAGATCTTGAAATGTTATAAGTTAGGTTATGAAATGAATATTAATTGTGAACATGAAATGGCACAAATGTCACATGGATTTATATTTTGTCATGATTTTGAGAACTATTGAACAATAGAAGTTTACTTTGAATAAGTGTTGAGAATTATGAAAATATTGTACAAATAAGATACATATATGTAATTACATCTCATTTCACTCGTTTGCATCACTTTGAATTTGTTCATTTATGGCGGTGCTTATGGTAACAAAATGATGGTGATGATGGTAGTGGTGATAGTGGTAGCGGTGGCATAGTGGTGGTGGTAACTATAGCAATGGTAGTGATAATAAAATCATGGTGGTGCTTATGGTAACAATGACAATTGTAATAAAAGTGGCGGTAGTGACAATGGTGACGATAGTGGTATGATGGTGATGGTGGTGGTAATAGTGGTGGTAGTGATAGTGATGGTGGTGATGGTGATGGTGATGGTGATGGTGATAGTGGTGGTGGTGGTGGTGGTGGTAGTGATGGCGATGGTAGTGATAGTGGCAATGGTAGTGACAGTGGTAATAAAAGTAGCGATAGTTGTGGTTGTGGTATGATGGTGGTAGCGGTAGTGGTGGTGGTGATGGTGGTGATAATGAGTTTATAATAGTATATATCGATATTTATGTTTAGTATTTATAAATTCAATAAGAATTAAATATGTTTCATATGACTTAAAATTTTTTGAATTTTATCCTATATTTTAAGAGGCGTTTAAATTTTTAAGTGATATCAATTATGATTGTCAAACATGCTTAATAAATCATTACTTAATACATTCAATTTTAAGTGTTGAATCAGATTATCAAACACCTCTATAATTAATGGTTGAATTTTAAAGTTCAAGATAATAAAATGTAAATGAGTCAAAATTTAAAGAGATTTGCTATAATTTACCCCTTCTATTATACATTTTTAACAAATGGTAAATTACTCTAATCTTTCCTAGAATTTAGATAAAATATATTAAATTTTATAAATTTGACAATTACATTGAACTCCTTCAAAGTCAATAATTCGTTAATATAATTCGCTAAGGATGTTGTCGTATTCTCTAAATCTATACACTTATATAATAAACAACAATGATTCATCCCACTAAAAATATCACCACTAATAGCACTAATGCATTAAAAAAGTAAAAAAATAAAAATAAAAATACAACTCCAAGACCAAAACATCACATCATTAATGACGGGACCCACTGCCACCTAATTAGTGGGAGCACTAATTAGTGCTCCCAAGCATTTTTCTATAATAAAAGGGAGTTAGTAGTTGTTAAAAGTAACTTGGCTCATTCTTTTCTTTCCACTTTTGTCCCCATTTTGTGTGTTGTGTATGTTGTACTTAAGTGGACAATTTCCTAACTTCATGGGCCAGCTTTGATAACATCTGTGGGCTACTTCCAGGAAGCTTCATTTTCATCTAAAAGCTTCTAAAAGAAGAGGTAATCATATTTTAGTAATTTTAACAGTGAGTTACATTCGGGTTTCGTTTGGAAACAGGTTAATTTAGTAATTTTTTAATTATTTGACTAAAATATGAGCTAAAAAAAACTAGTATGCTTAGGATGATTTTTTGACTTTTTATAAAAAGATGTGCAAAAAGTAGAGAGAAAATAGAATCTTTGACTTTTTAGTATGGGTTGTTGACTTTTTGACTAATTTAGTAACTTTTTGACTAAAATGGAGGGTTCCCAAACGAGGCCTCAATCTGTGTTATGCGCAGCTGAATGTATATGACAATAATATATATTAATAATTTATAAATTCTTAGATTATAAATTTATTTTTATTTTTGAATTTTGAGATATATGATAAAGATATTTATTAACATTGCATGAATTTTTAGATCATAAAATTAAAGTTCTGTCTATTTTACCCCATGACCTAGCCAAGGTACAATTTAGATTGGCCTAACTCAAGTAATTTAAATTCGTAAAATTTTAGAACCTTAAGTAATTTAAGTTCATAAAATTTTATAGCCTTCACACTATTTTAAATTTGATCAGGGCTAAAAGAAAAATTTATCAACTCAATTAAATTCAGTCCGAGCTAGAGTAGGAATTGTCACAATCCAAGCATTTTGATTTTTATTGTTAATAATCGCATTGAACCTGTGCATAAAGCGAAACTCCCAAAAAAAAAAATTTATAAAAAAAAAAAAAAAGATAAATTATAAAAATGGTCCCTATATTTTGACGTGTGTTTCATCTTAGTCCTTATACTTTCAAATTAGACACTTTAACCCTTGAAGTTAGGGAGTTGTCTCACAATTGGCTAATTCATAATGGAAGTCGCCTTTTCCATCCAAAACCGCTCAGGTGCAACACACACGCACAAGATTCAAGGCAAAAGTGGTCAATTTATCCCTTCCTGCCACTACACAAGCAGTAGGTCAACAAATACATACATATTATGAGAAAATATTTGGTAGTCACAAATTTTATGGTTTAAATTATCTGAAAATATCAAAATGATGTCGTTTTAATATTTTCAAAGTTATTTTATACCTAAAATGATATTATTTTAACATTTTTAAATCATTTAAACCACAAAATTTGTGACCAGCAATCATTTGTGGCCACCAATTCCCCAATTCATAATGGAAGACGCCTTTTCCATCCAAAACCGCTCAGGTGCAACACACACGCACAAGATTCAAGGCAAAAGTGGTCAATTTACCCATTCTCGCCATTACACGAGCAGTAGGTCAACAAATACATACATATTATTATGTTCATCTCCTTTTTCACTGGTTCGTTGAAGAAGAAGAAAGAAAAATCGAGCCATTAGAGCAGAGAAGGGAATGGAAACGAAGAAAAAAAACGAGGCATTGGAACATAAAAGGGAAGGGAAAGGAAGAGGAGCTGAAAATGGATTATGTGAATTGCTATTGTGGCAAGAGAAGTCGATTGAATACATCATAGACCGACAACAACCCACATACATATTATGTTCATCTCCTTTCTCACTGGTTCGTTGAAGAAGAAGAAAGGAAAATCGATCCATTAGAGCAGAGAAGGGAATGGAAACGAAGAAAAAAAACGAGGCATTGGAACATAAAAGGGAAGGGAAAGGAAGAGGAGCTGAAAATGGATTATGTGAATTGCTATTGTGGCAAGAGAAGTCGATTGAATACATCATAGACCGACAACAACCCTAGGAGGAGGTTTCTCGGTCGTTCTAATTATGGGGTAAGTCCATTCCAGTATTGACCTTTGCCCAAATCTGTAATTTCTTCTTCTTTGTATTTGTATTTGTTTTTTATTTTATTTTATCTTATTTTTTAGAATTTCATGACTAAAACCGAAAGTATTGTTGCAGAGGTTTGGTGCATGTGGTTACTTTTTATGGATTAATCCCCTGATGTGTACCCGTTGTCGCGATGTCATACTCGAGTTGCTTCAACGAAACAAAGTGCTGGAAGATGAAGTACTAGTGTGTAGGGCAAGAGGAAGGTGGGTGATTGCATGTCTTGCTTTGTCCCGTTTGCTTTTTTCTTTGGTGGACTCTAGTTGTTAATGGTAGCAATGGAAATGCGGATGGAAGTGCTAAAAATGGCAGTATATTGTAAAAGTGAAAATAGATGTATATATGACAATGATTTTGAGGGAATTGTAATGGGGAAATTGGGACAAATGTATGGTGGCAATGATAATAGAAGCCTAGAATGGACTTACCATAGGTCGTGGAAAATGTTTTAATATGGTTTGTAATGTTTGTCTGATATATGTATTGTTCAACGTGGTCTGTAATGTAAGTTTGAACCTTTTTTATGAGATGGTTTGTAATGTAAGTTTGAACATTTTTGATGAGATGGTTTGCAATGGTTTGATTTGGAGATGGTTGTACCTATCCACCATGACAACACAAGCAACAACACCTCGGTTAATTTATTGAGGCATTAAGAAGCACCAAAAGCATGTAAAACTTTGGCATCCATTCCATTCCATTCACAAAATCGCTGTGATCCATTAGATTCACAAAAACATCCATTCCATGCCAAGCACAATCCCTTCACAAAACAAAGACCATCCATTGACATCTATGCCATTCCAAGCACAATCCATTCAAAAAAAAAACACAATTCTATTCCAAGCACCATCCATTCATAAAAACATATTTGCCATTCAAAAAACAACAACATTAACAAGCACCAAAAACATCTTTACTGATGTGAATTTAGGCGCAATGTACTCTACAAATGATTAACATCATCAATATAAGTTTCCAAAACAATTAACAACATGAACACGTGTGAAGGTAATGTCAAGACAAAGTATGTTAGCAACATTTACATCCCAAAATAAAGATTATCAGTGTTTTCATACATTTACAAAAGTCTAACAGTGCCCAAAAGTGAAACCAAAAACATGTGCCCAAAAAGTCATCATGGCATGGCATGACTACTGATTTTCATCACCTTGTTGTCCTGTTTTTGTTGTTACAGTTTCATGAAGTGAAGATAATGTACATACTTTTTCCCCTTGGACATGAAAGTGGGTAGGCTTGCAGATGAGAATGGTGCAACTTTCATTGGTTGTGGCCTCATGAGTGCATTTGGCAATGACCTTATATTGACACATTACCCTGTTGATCTCGTGTTTGATGCACCAATGTTGACAGGTGGCTTTGGCTATTGCATCATTGGTTGTGGCCTTGGTTGCTGCATCATTGGTTCTGGCTTTGGCTGCACCACTTGTGGCCTTGGTTTACTACCTCTTGTATTACTTGCCACTGGTTGACTACAACATTGATTGGTTGCAGGTGGCCTTGGCCTGGTGCTATTCATGGGTTGGCTGCAATTTTGATTAGTAGTAGCCATTGGTGTTGGCCTATTACATCTACTTGATTGATTCACACTATGCTGACTCCCAACAGGGTTAAACTCCTCTTTTTAACCTACACAATTTTCTTATTAATATTATACTGAAATTTTAATTTAAAAAAAAAAAAATGCATAATTGAATATAGTCAATCAAATCTTACTGGGTTTTTTGGTCTAATGCTTCATTCTCCCACTGGTTGGCCTTTGCAGCTTTCTTGTTGTGACCAAGCTTCCCACAAATGCTACAAGAGGTAGTTATGTGTTGTCTCTTTAATTTGGTGGGATCCCTTAGTTCATCTCTTTGTTTTTTCCTTAACTTTTTTGGCCTCTCTGGTTGTCTCTTCACTTTTGGAGGCAACAATTCAACCATTCCTGTACTTGGCCACATCTCAGAACCATTAATAGGATAAACAATTTGCTCATAGCTAGCCATATAAGTATTCTTCCTATACCACTGTGCCACATAATTTTCTAGCTCTTCATGTTTGTAATATATTGCTGATATGGCATGTGGGCAAGGTATACCAGTCAAATCCATTTTCTACATGAACAAGTGTGAGTTTCAAGATCAACCAGAAATTGCTGACCATTAAAGCAGTTGATCTAATATGCAGATGCACCTGACAACATAGCAATGCAGTTGGTTGATTCCTCTTTCTTCCTATGAAGCTTCTTTTGAATGTTTGGACACAACACACCTTTTTCTCACTGCTTCTCTTCTCATTTGCATCCCATTCATTATAAGGCACCTTATGCCTTCCAACTTGGGGATTATAGTCTTTCCTGTTGCTACAACAGGCAATCCATTAAAGCTCTCACACATGTTATTGTGTACTACATCACACTCAAACAGAGGTATGAAGTGAGACCTTGACCAAACGCTAGGTGGCTTCTCAGCCAACCAATTGAATGCTTCCTCATTTGCATCCTTCATTTGTTGCAACTGGTGATTAAAGTCTTGAACATAAGAGGCATTGGCTGCACCCCATAGCGGGTCCTTCAATAACATCCCCTTGAAATTGTCTTGGAAATTCTGTTGCAAATGTCTAACACAAATTCTGTGGTCAACATTGGGTATGACCTCAACAAGTGCTGGTATCAAGCCCTACAAAATTTAGTAAATCAGCTGAAAGATTTAACATTTACAAATTTGGATATTTATATAAAAGATTTAACAAATCAGTTGAAATGGGAAGTCAATAAATAACTATTACCTTTTGTTTGTCAGACATAAATGTGAAGCCTGGTTGGTGGACAATTCTAATATCTTCCTATAGTAGCTCAAAAAACCATTTCCAATACTTTTTTTTGTCTCTCCCTCATCCACAGCATATGCTAGAGCATAGTTATTATTGTTTCCATCAACTCCAATAGCTGTTAGCAATTGGCCCTCTTATAGACCTCTAACATGGCATCCATCTACCCCAATGTATGACCTACATCTTACCAAAAACCTTTGCTTTAAAGCCCTAAGATAATCATAAATCCTTTAAAACCTTTCCTTCCCTACATCATTTACATCCAGATCATCATCCCCATCCTCATTATCTGCAGCCTTCACACAATGGTGGTCCCAGGATTAGTTCTTCTAATCTCTTCACAGTAGTCCCACAAGCTAGCATATTGCTTTTTAAGGCTTCATTCAATCAATTGTTGTGCCTTTTTCTTTGCCCTATACAACTGACTTCTAGATACACCAACTTTATGTTCTTTTTGCACAATTTGTTGGAAAGAGTCTAAACGCCAGATGGGTTTGGTCCTTAGTGTGTCCACGTACTTACTTTACGGCTATGTTGAAGTGACATTCTTATTGTAATAAATCCTGCCACAGTTGTGCACAGGGTTGTAGGTCTTGACTTGGAAACTCAATTGTCCTTGCATCTTAGATGCAAAAATCATCCACTTGCAAGGAGCCTGACAACCAGCCCTCACTCTAGTACTGTCATTTTTCACAAATTTAATCTGTTTTCCACTTCTTATGGCATGTTCTTTGACAATTTCTTTGAATAGTTTTGGTGAAGCAAAAATCATCCCAACTTTGAATTGTGGGTCAGCCATGTCTGTTTCAACATTGAATGAATTGGGAATGGTTCTGAACCAACAAATGTTGCGAATAAAATCCAACTACCACCTTCTATGATTAGTCCTCAAATGAAGAACTCTATCAAAGATTTAACCAATGTCATCTTCCCAAATCTTCAAACATACTCAATAAATCCTATTTCAATGATAAATTATGTTGTACTAACTCCCAAGAATGATTGTGTTGATGAGGTGAATAAATTCTTGATTGAAAGATTTCCAGGAAAAATAAGAAAATACACAAGCATTGATAAAATAATTGATCCAAATGATCAAGCCAATATGAAGATTTCTTAAATTCTCTTAATCCAAATGGCCTTTTGCCTCATCATTTATAATTAAAAGTCAATTGTCCAATCATGGTATTGAGAAATATTGATCCTTCACAAGGTGTTTGCAATGGGACATGACTCATATGTCGTGATTTTCAAAATCATATCATTTGTGCAAAAATTATCGTTGGTGATCATAAAGGGAAAATAGTTTTCTTACCATGAATTCCATTGCAACCTTATAATCAACGAAAATATCCTGTGCATTTGAAGCCAATTCCTAATAAAATTGTGTTTTGCCATGACAATCAACAAAGCGCAAAGCCAAACATTGGACAAAGTGGGTGTATACTTACGAAAGCCAGTATTCTCACATGGACAACTATATGTTGCCTTATCTTGAGTTACAACTGCAGCAGCTATTAAAGTTCTTATTGAGCCAACATATGAAGATGATAAATATATCAATTCTACTAGGAATGTTATTTACCCAAAATTGTTGGCACTTGCAAATTCATACTGAATTTTATTTTGAATATTTTTGTAAGATTTGAACACATTTGATAAATCCATCTACACATAGAGCTCATTTCCAATTTTATCTAAGCTATCATACTTAAAAATATATGATGTTAACATTTTGGGCCTTGTTTTGTAGAATGGGTGAAGAAATTACACACGTGAAGAACATCACAAGCTTTACTCATACTGGAAAGCAAAAGTTCAAGTTTTGGAAAAAATGGGATCCATGGATTGGGATGTCAATCAAAAATTAATTCTTGCTGATTTGGAGGTCCATCATCTACGCTTTATACATCTAGCTTTGAACTAAAGAACAACAATATATATACATATATCATTTATAACTACCACATTTCCAGCCCTTATTCAGTCATGAATTATAAGTTTTCGATGACACATAACCATTTCTTTTCAGTATCTTTCTTTTTCTCAATGTTACTTGCCTGTAATGCACTTTGCACATATTTACAGGGCACAACAGTGCAAGTAACTACTTATGAAGGCTAGATAGATAATTTCGAAGACACTTGAAGTTTTCAAATCTTATTACATATCAAATGTTGTGGTGAAATCAGTCCAAGAGAAATATCGCATGGTTCCAAATGAATGGAAATGGACTATAAATGCAAGTACATTAATTCAACCTGCTGAAAGTGCTCATACAGATGACAACCCACTAGCACATGATTTTGTCACATTTGACAAGTTTGAGAAACATATTGACAAGCAGACAGAAATTGGTAAGATTAATCAATCACTACTAACAATTCCTAATAAACAAACACATTCTCTTATTACATACTTTTAGAGTAATACATGTATACTATTTTAAACAAAGATATCTTAGCAGCTGTTGTAGAAGTCAGGCCACCCAAAATAGTCACTCCACTTGCTAGAACAACAACTGTGCAAGAAGTGGTTCTCATTGACCAAGAGTAAGGTTCTCAGCTTTTGTTTTTTCCCCCTACATAAACTTGCATAGCTAACAATCAATGTTTAATTTAACAGATTGAAACTTGTTGTCATGACTTTGTGGGGTCAATTTGTCAAAAATGAAGGCGAGAAACTCCTAACAATCCCTAACAATCGGTGAATCTTTCCTTACTCT